CACCCTCCTACTTCTCTGGTTGTCTGTGCCAACCCCGGATGTTAGCGCTGGAGCCCGATAATTTCCCGCTCCAGCTCCGATTTCTCCCGCTCCCGCTACAGGATCCCGCTCCCGATCACGAAACCCGCGAACCACTCCCGCTCGGTCACAAACTGTTCCCGTGAACAGTTTCTTATTTCGCGTAGAGTCGCGTCTGTCGTGACAGTTCCACTCCTGTTCGTGATAAAGGCTTCGGATGGCTCTCCTTGGGTTCCTAAGTCACGATTTTGGTGTTCTTCTTCGGGCTTCCTCGGGATAGAGAAAGGGTTCTTCGGACTTCCTCGGGATAGACGAAGAGAAGTGCAAGAAGTAGTTTCTTGTGGCAGAAGGAAGAAAAAAGAAGAAGAAGAAGATTGTTCTCCTTAGCTTCTTCTTGGTGGCTTGCGGCAGAAGAAAAATTGGATTTATTTCTCTTGTAAGTTTATCTTCTTCGGTGTATCTCGGTGTAGAGTTTTTCGGTGTATCTCGGTGAAGAGAGAGAAGAACGGAGAGAGAAGAAGAGAGAGCTTCCTCTTGTAAGTTGAGACGATCGACTAGTGTAAATTCCTCAAGTAATAAAATCCTCTACAACTTCGTGGACATAGGAAATTTGTCGAACCACATAAATTTGTGTGTTCACCTATGTTATTGTTTTCTGATGTGAATTTTCTCGTTCTATTTTTTGTTTCGTCAAAGATCGTTCTCCTATTTTATTTCTATATACCACAACAACTGGTATCAGAGCTTTGTTTCAGATCTGGGAAAGCTGATGGCTGCAGATGAAGTGAAGGTTTCAAGGATCGAGAAATTTGATGGCAAAAATTTTGGTTATTGAAGAATGCATATAGGGGACTACCTTTGTAAAGAAACTTCATCTTCCATTATTGGGGAAAAGGTTTGAAAAGATGGATGAAGTTGAATGGAATTTGTTGAATCAACATATTCTAAGGGTTATTCGATTGACCATATCGAGGTCCGTTGCAGATAATGTCGTCAAGAAGATGATGACTACAGATCTCATGACAGCCTTATCAGGTATGTATGAAAAGTTATTGGAAAAAAATAAGGTGTAATTGATGAAGAAGTTAAAGTTATTCAACTTTAAGATGGCGGAAGGTGTTTCTGTTGCTCAACATCCAAATCATTTCAACACCATCACAAATAAATTGTCGTTGACATCTGTTGAAACTGATTTTAATGATGAGATACGCGCGCTGATATTGTTGACATTGTTGCCAAATAATTGGGAAGCTATGAGTATAACATTTAGTAGTTCTGCAAGTAAATTTAAACTGATAAATATAAATTGAAATGTGATGATATTTGTGATTTAATTTTGGCTGAAGAGATGCACAGGAAAGATTCTGGCGAGATCTCAGGTACGAGTTCGGCGCTGAGCTGAATGTTGATTTCAGAAGATGGCAGGACAGAAACACAAATAGAGGGAGATCAAAAACAAAGTCCGGTCAGTAGGCAACCTGTTGGAATTGTGGCAAGGCTGGCCACATAAAGAGAAACTGCAGGAATCCCAAGAAAATGAAGAATGATAGGACAAATGTGATATTTGAAGAAGTACACGATGCACTATTGCTGACAGTTCATAGTTCTGTTGATAATGAAAGTAAAGAGAATAGTGGGTCCGGGGTACCCATTCCTATTGTTCCACAGACAGATGGTGGAGAACCACAAAGCTATGAAAAAATCTTACAAGATGAAAGTTCGAGCAAGTGGGAGCTGGCAGAACTTCCACCAGGAAAGAATGCATTACACAAGTGGGTGTATCAAGTGAAGATTGAACTTGATGACAGTAAGGGGTACAAGGCTAGATTTGTTAAAAAAGGATTTTAGCAGAAGCAGGATACTGCCCATGCACTGGGAGTTACAAGCAAAGACAAGAATCAGGAAATAACTTGGAGGTGCAAAGCTATGTGAACTCTGCTGATATGTTGACTGATTACTCTTAAGAAACTGAAGTTGTGCACAACTTCAGAGAGGTGCAAAGTTATGTGAACTCTGCTGATATGTTGAATGAATACTCTTAAGAAACTGAAGTTATGCACAACTTCAGTTGGTCTTCTGGAGTGAAAACAGTGCTTTGAGTTGCAAAGGTGGAGGATTCATGTTCGAAGAAAAGGGCGACACCGCCAGTGGAGGATATCAGTTCGAGGAATGAGATGTTGTAGCTTGTGTATCGGTCTCCAAGTGGGACATTGTTAGCGCTGGAGCCCGATAATTTCCCGCTCCCGCCCCGAATTCTCTCGCTCCCGCTACAGGATCCCGCTCCCGATCGCGAAACCCGCTCATGTCTCTCGCTCGATCACGAACAGTTCGTTATTTCGCGAAGAGTCGCGTCTGCCGCGACAGTTCCCTTCTTGTTCGTGATAAAAGCTTCAGATGGCTCTCCTTAGGTTCCTCAGTCACGATTTTGGTGTTCTTCTTCGGGCTTCCTCGGGATAGAGGAAGAGTTCTTCGGGCTTCCTCAGGATAGAGGTTCCTTGGGTTTCCTCGGGGTAGAAAAAGATAATCGTAAGAAGTAGTTCCTTACGGCAGAAGGAAGAAGAAAGAAGAAGAAAACTGTTCTCTATTAGCCTCTTTTTTGTGGTTTATGGCAGAAGAGAAATTGGGTTTATTTCTCTTGTAAGTTTATCTTCTTCGGTGTATCTCGGTGTATCTCGGTGAAGAGAGAGAAGAGAGAACAACGACGTGAGGGATTCATCTTGTAAATCGAGACGATTAACTGGTTTAAATTCCTCAAGTAGTAAAATCATCTGCAACTCCGTGGACGTAGGCAATTTGTCGAACCACGTAAATCTGTGTGTTCCACTGTGTTAATGTTTTCTGGTATAAATTTTTTTTTCGTTCTATTTTTCGCTTCGTCAATCGTTCTTCTATTTGATTTATATATATATATATACCAAAACAACTAGTATATATCTCACAACTCCGAAAATCAACTGTTGTTGTAGGAATCCGCCCCCACAGCTTACTGTTATTGTATTCCTTTCCTCCCACTCTTT